GCTATCCTAGTTCATTTTAAATCATCTTGCACTTATTTCTTCTACCCAAGATTTAAAGGAGTTTAATGTCTATTTAAATTGATGAAAAAAAAATAATAAGGTTTCCTGCTTATCTTGGCTGCTGGGGACTTGCTTTCTGATGGATTTGACAGGAACCAGACTTGATATTTATTTCACAGCTGAGTAGTCACAATGTTCTTCACCACACCCAAGTTCTCCAGACCTTTCTCTACTAGAAAATGGAAGTGGTATATATGACTTTCACTTCCATATTAATCTGGGCAGACTGTCAAAGATCATGATTCATTTCTGTATCAATATCTGAGTGTCATGTTGATACAGAAGACTTGAATTTATTGGCAATCACAATTCCTTTCTCCTGCACAGGTTAACTATATGACTAAGCACATTATAGTCTGGAGATGACATTAACATAAGCATACTTAACATAGGCATGTGTTAGAGTAATATTCAAGAGAGATGGAAAAAGGGAGACAGCATAAAGTTAAGATCGTAGGTTCAAAAAATCAAACTGCATAGGAAATACTTCAAAGAATCAACAATTAGGATCTCATCTTCTTGAAAAGTTTCTGCATGTAAAAAAAAAATCAACAACAGAGTAAAAAGAAACCCCATGAAGCAGGAAACAATTATAACATACTGCCCATCAGGCAAAGAATGCCTATCTAGAACATTTAAAGAATTTTTAAAAATCAGGCCTCCAAAACTCAAAGACCCAATCCAAAAATGGGCATCTGAGATGAATATACACTTAACAAATAAAGAGATACAAATGGCAAATAAATATATGAAAAATGTTCAAAATTATTGGTCATTCAAGAAATGCAAATTAAAAATAATGCTGAGATACTATCTTATGCCAGAAAGAATGGCTATCATCAAGAATTCAACCAATAACAAATTCTGGAGAGGCTGTGAGGAAAAAGGAACCCTTCTTGTCCGCTGTTAGTGGAAGTGCAGGCTGGTACAACCATTATGAAAATCAGTATGGAGGTTCCTCAAAAAAGTAGGGTTGGAGGTCCCATTCAAGCCAGCTATTCCCCTCCTAGGTATTTTTCCAAAAACTGAGATTATAATACACAGCAATATATATGCACCCATCTTTATAGCAGCACAATTTGCCAAAGCTAATTCTTGAAAACAACCCAAATGCCCATCGACTGAGCAATGGATAACCATCCAGCAGAAAAGTCTAACCATGAGGTATAAAATATAAAGCTGTATTAATATGCTGAGTTGTAAAAGGCACGAGTCAACAACTTCTGGCAATTGCCAGCTGTGCTGATAACCCACTATTATTATGGACTATTGATTTATACTGGGTTATTTTGCTGAATTCGAGTATCTACAATCTTTGGACTGGCATCAAGTATGAAAAGGTCCTTTAAAGACTTCTCCAAATACAGCTTCCCTAACTGCAATGGAACACCCATCTCTTACAAAACAAAACAAAAAAGGGGGATATGTTGGGAGCCAGGAAGCTAGGAAATAAATCAAATGTGTGTAGTCGGGACTAGGCCTCAGTGCCTAAAGCAAACAAGCTACCTCAAAGAATCAGTCCTGAGATAAACATCCTAGCTGGTTAAAGTCAGCTATTAGCCACTAGGAAACCTTGTGTCACATGTTACTAACTTTGCAAAAGTATAAATAAAATACTGTTTTCTTGTTAAATATATATATATATATATATGATAAAATAGATATACAGTTACTTTCATTTGTTTCATTGAGAAGAAAAGGTTTGTAGTAATATTGTTTAGACAAGATATGTCTACATCTTGTCCTCTGAATAATACTATGAAGACAACAATATGCAATGCATCAATTATTGTAACTGTCCTACTAACCTATTTTGAAATTGATTTATTGTTATTTTATCTTTTTTTCTCATTAAAATGAAAAAAAATTTAAAAAATAAAGCCAGGTCAAACAACCAAACAAAAAAAGGATAGGGTATTTTTACACAATGGAGTATTATTCAGCTATATAAAAAGATAAATTTGAGGCTTTTTTACATAAATGGAAGCAGCTAGAGACTATATTGGTAAGAGAAATCAATCAGATCCAGATGTGCAGACATCATATTGTCTCATTAGTGTGAGAACCTGAAAGAGCAATGAAAATCTAAAAGGTCCAACAGATACTATGAAAAGGAAAGAAATAAAGAAACTGTTGAATGGGAAGGAAAAACTGGGATGAGGAAAAGGACAAGTGAAAGAATGGAAAAGATGTATTTAGGTATATATGCAGAATAGTTTGGATAATTGTATTGTCATTTTCTGTTGGTCTTTTGTTTTTTGGTTCTTTTTGTTAACAAAAAAAAATTAAATTTATTGAAACAATTTAGGTATACGTAGTGACCTCAGTCATTATAGGGACTTTTTAAATAATTTTTATTCATTTGAAAGAGAAAAAAGATAAAATAGCAATGAAACAATTTCAAAACAGGTTAGTAGGATGTTTACAATAATTAATACATTGCATGGGGCCAGGAAGATGACTCAGTAGAAGAAGCACTTGCCTGGCAAGCATGAGGGCCTGAGTTCAATCCCTAGTTCCACCAAAAAAATAATAATAATAATAATTAATACACTGCATGTTTTTGTCTTCATAGTAGTTATTCAGAGGGCAAGATAAAGACATGATATCTTGTCTAAAAATATTAGTATAAACTTTTATTCTCAGTGAACTAAGAGGAAGTAGCTGTATAGCTACCCTAACTCTCTGTGTATACATGTTTTTTCCTTCTCTTTTTTTCATAACAAAACTATCCTTTATTTGCACTTTTGTGAAGTTACTAACACATGACACTAAGTTGCCTAGCAACTGATAGCTAACCTTAACCAGACAGGATGTTCATCTCAGGAGTGAGTTAGCTTGTCTGCTTTAGGCACTGGGTCAAGTCCTACCTATGTATATTTGATTGATTTCCTAGCTTCCTGGCTCCCAACATATCCCCCTTTTTTGTTTTGTATTTTCAGAGATGGGTGTTCCACTGCAGTTAGAGAAGCTGTATTTGGAGAAGTCTTTAAAGGACCTTTTCATACTTGATAACAGTCTAAAGTTGTAGTTACTTGAATTCAGCAAAATAATCCAATATAGTCCAATAGTCCATAATAGTGGTGGGTTATCAGAAGAACTGGCAATTGTCAGAAGTTGTCAACTTGAGCCTTTTACAGTTCAGTATATTAATATGGCATTGCTTTTTATACCTCATGGTTATACTTTTGTGCTGGATGGTTAAGACCAAGATAAAGCAAGACCTATATAACTAAAAATGTAACTTTTGTATCTGACAAGGTCAGTCAAATCTCCTCAGGATTTACACTGAAACCATGTAGAGCAGCCTGTAGATCTTTCATCGGTGTCAGCCATCTGGATGAGTCACAGCCATTGCTTGACCAATTTGCTCTCTGTGAAAGCCTGAGAGATTTTTTTTTCTCTCCAGGTGACTCCCCTCAGGCACACTATACATCATTGTCATTTTCCTCTGTGGCCCCATAATCTCCTTGATCAGAAAATTTAGGACACCACTGAGTTATAGGATGTCACAGCACAGGTTCTCTTATGTCCTGAATCCTCACTGATCTTGAAGGGCTAGGGCCAAAATGTCAGCTACCCTTGTAGCCCCTCTATTTCCCTAATTTTTGGTCTGTAAACTTTAGTTGTTAAACATCCAGAAGAGAAGTTTAATGATATTATTATCCTGTAACAGGCCATTGAACTTAACATCACTATCTGTCTGAATATCAAACATTTTAGACATAATATGGAACTGCTATTTTCCTCTGCTGGTCTTTTGAAAGGAGCAATTTATGCTTAATTTTTTTTTAACTCTGGTTTCTTTTTTTTTTTTTTGCAGGGGTGGGGTGCCAGGGATTGAACTCAGTCCCTTGCGCTTGCCAGCGAAGCACTTATTCCACTGAGCCATCTCCCTGGTCCTTTGCTCTGATTTCTTTCCCCTCTTTTGTATTTTTTATAGCTTCTATGTTATTGTTTTGTTTTTCTTTTAATAAATTTTACACATTTATATCTGTTAATCCGAACAACTAATTTGAAGATAGTATCATGTAATACAGCAACCATTGTTGAATTCCTATTACTTTGTTTAGTGAAATCTTGCTTCATTTCTAATACTTTTTTATCACTATTTTGTGTTTTTTAAAGATAAAAAAAGAACTATACATTAAAGATTCATAGTTCATAGTTCATATCTACCACTTGTTACCTGAATGACCCTGGCGAGCTTCAGCTTCCTCCATCCATAAAGGGAATTGGTTGAATAATACCTCCTCAGTAAGATAATTGGGAAGAATCACTGAGTTAATACGTGCCACATACCCTTCCATCAGAGCTTGATATACTATAAATGCCACCAAATATTAGCTGTTAGTAAATTTTCTACAGTAATATTAAATTTAAAAAATCACTTAAAAAGTGGAGCTTAGTCATGAAATTGGACTTTTAAGTACATTGACAATCACATGCATCTGAATTGATATAGTATGATTAATCAAAAATTAGTGAAGTATATGTAAAATAAAGTGCCTTTCCTTTTGCACTTTATCCTAACTCCTTAGAAATTTCACATCCTTGAATTACACTGGAGAAGAAAGAAATTTGCGGGGGCACATCTGACATCTGGGGATATAGAGACAGTGAACTGAAATAGATCTAAGTTAAGGTGGCAAACACAATTAAGTGAAACATGGATTATTTGTTATATCTAGTATAAGTCAGTATAAGCCCAGGCAGCTCACATCTCCATCTACAAATATCCCTAGAAAGGTTGTGTGTGTGTGTGTGTGTGTGTGTGCACGTGTGTGTGTGTCCTAAATCAAGTACATTTCTTCCGTTTGGTGTCTTTCTTGGAATAGAGTGGGGAAAGAGAAATTTTCAGTGTTAAGATAAAGAATAATCATAAGCACATCAATTTATATAGCTATTTATCTCTAAAATGTATTTGTCTTTTTATCTAGGACTGGAGAAGTTTGCACAAAAAGCAAAATCATTGTCACCTTTAGCAGTTATAACAGGAATATCACTATTTTTGATTGTATCTATGTGTTTTCTCTTCATATGGAAAAAATATCATCCCTACAGAGGTAGGTTAAAATTTTTTAAATGTTTTAAATTTTTATGTATACTAAACTATACCTTACTATGCTTTTTTTCTTTTGGCTTTAGTCATAAAACAGAAGCTAGAAGGCAGGTAATATATACATTTCTGTGAAAATAATTTTGTTCTTGAATATTTTTTCCTCAATTATTATCCCTACTGAAATATCTACTTGTCTTTGCAGGCCAGACACAGAATACAGGAAAGCTCAAACATTTTCAGGTAATGGCCAGATTGAGAAGTATGAAATTATTTTAATAAATATCATTCATATATAAAAGTATGATAAAGTATATTAGATAATATTTTTGGTATTAATTAATGGTATTAGTTAATACCATTAGTTAATACCAGAATGGTATTCTATTAATATAATAGAATTCATATAAGACAAAACTAGTATAGCTCTGACAATCCCTTTCCTTTACAAGTGCCAACCCTGTGTAGGTTTAATGTGAGCCACACAAGTTTGGAAGGTCAGTCTGGATGCTTCCAACAGGACAACTAAGGATCAGAAAGAGAAGTCACTTGTGCGCAGTTACTGTGTTCTGCTGAATACTTATGCATTGACCTACCATTATTATATTGAAAATACCAAATGAGCTTCTCCTTGTGTTACTCCCATGAGATCCTGGCAGCTCCATCCTAAGAAGAAGCAAAGAGAGAGGTCTGACAGGAGCTCATCCTCCTCCTTTGTCCCCATTGACCCTCCCAGCTTTCGTGGTTGACTGTGCCAAGCGATATAAGTAAACGAGGGAGCTTTTGCTTGGGCCTGGGCATCTCAGGACCTGGATTTCTCTCCTGTGTATACCACCTTCCCCTTACAAAAATTATTTTTCTTGACCTCAATTGCCTCATCTATAATAAAGACTTCTGCAGAGGATTGCTATGAGAACTAAATAAAAGGATAAAGATGGAGAGCCTAATATGATATCTGAATACTTAGTAAATATGGTTGCTCCACTTTTCTAGGCCTTGCTCGCTTACAGTGACTTAATGCCAGACCATCTGGTTCATCCAAACCACCCCCAACCCCAATGCTGTATAGATGAAGTTCAGGCGGATGCCATATTGCATTGCACTAGTGTGTATGTCTAAGCTGCCATAATTATTTACATGTTCTTTTCATTTCTTATGGTCTCTGTTACATCTAACAGTGGAAAGTTGGTATTATGAGTGGATCAAAAGCTGCTGTGACATCTGGCTGAAGGCTTAGAGTCCATGAGTCTCTGATAACTGAAGGTTATGAAAGATAAGCCTGTCCACATCTGTGTATTTGAATATGTGATATATTTTCCCATGTCAGGCTTTAAGAGTAATTGTTCCAGTTTGGTTTCAATGTTCAGCTTCAGAAAAATTCATTTCCAGTATCACTCAACATGTGATTAATTTCAGTTTCACTCACAGCAATAGAACCAAAGGGGCTTAGGAAATTTTCAATTGGCTTTGTACATATACCATTTAAGATAGACAATGAAGATGAGTTTTATAATGGTTTCTAAAGCAACAGCAATCAAAACATTGTGTTTGTAAGTAGTATTGTTTTCCATTTCAGGCCATGAAGATGCTCTGGATGACTTCGGAATATATGAATTTGTTGCTTTTCCAGATGCTTCTGGTGTTTGCAGGGTCAGTGCTCCTAGTGGCTGGTTCACCAAGTAGAATTCTGCATCCCCAGACGTGTAGGCAGCATGCATTCAAGCATGCAGGCAATGTCATCAAAAGACCGCATTACCCTTTATGCACTAGTACTGCAATGAGTGGTGCTGCCAGATCTGGGGAGCTGAGGCATCTTTCTCAGCCTTTATAAATAAAGCTAACACAAATTAGGTGGTTATGCTGATTTGTAAACACGCTTTACTGGTAAGCTTAGTGAAGAGGAATTAATTGCACTGAAGATCAAGAGAACTGAATCAATAGAAGATAAGGAATCAGGTTGAAATTATTCTTCATTACTTGAGTGGCTGCAGACCATCACTTTACTGAATTTTCTCTGTTCTTCAAGTTTTCTTCATTCCCTTGTCACAACTTCAGTCAATTCAAAGACAATTGATCGTTCCAGCACCTCATGCTCTTCATACAGTATAGGCCTAAGGGATGCAGGCATAAGTTTTCTTTCTTTTTTTTTTTAAATTTATTTATTTATGTGTGTGTGTGTGTGTGTGTGTGGCCAGCTCAGCCCACCAGGGGGCGGGGCTGGCTGGCATGTGGTGCTGGGGGATTGAACCGCGGTCCCTGTGCTTTTTTGCTAAGCTTGTTCTAAGTAGGTGCTTTAGACCACTGAACCATCTCTCCAGCCCCAGCAGGCATAAGTTTTCACCACCATCATAATGGGGGCATTAGTACACACAGGAGAGAACTGCTAACTGCTGAAGCCCTTTTTTCAGTCTGAGGGGAAAACACGTTCAAATAATAAATCTCGTCTAACAGACGTGCAGGTGTTTCTCAGCTAATCAGCACATGAACACTGTTGCGATTTGTGTAGGACGTATTTTTCCTCTGTTCCCTTATTCTCCTATGATAGTCCACTTATGGAAGGGGTCATCAAGGAGTTGCTTGAGGCTGGGCGTTGTCACTTCCATTTTTTAGGACTGCATGTTGTTACAGAGTGGATTAGAGCATTCTATCAATGTGCAAGGTTCATTCCGTCTGGCCACAGACTATCTCAGAAATGCCCTGTGAGTCATGAAGAGGAGGTGATTGGAGTGCCCCCTCCCTCAGGGCAAGTCAGGAGCGCAGCACGCCGCTGTCGCTGTAGCAGATGAAGAGAGCGGCCCTGCAGCGGCTCTGCAGTGTGCAACCACAGCTCAGGCAGGGTTGACTCGCCCTCCACTTCCACAAGAGACAAAAATAAATATTTGGCAAATCAGTTATTTAAAACTATTCACAGTGACAGAAAGCACCTCATAAGGTGTGGCTTCAGGTGGTAGAACAAGAAACGGAAGGGCTGGGATCACTTATAATGTAATTTCTGAGACAAGGAGTTTTTTTTTCAGTACAAGCTTTGGGATAGTAATTGGGAGTATCTCTGTTGGCTCAACCTGTTAATGCTTCTCAAGAATTAGAAGCACAAAAATGGATCTTTTAATTGCATCTCAGAAGCCCCACTTGTTTCTGTCATGAGCAGAACTTGATTTGGAGCCATGCCTATTGTCAAAGCTGAAAACTTCTCAGAATTCTGCTGAGATTCTTAATTGGCCAGACCAGGTGCTTTGGGGAAGAAGAGAGAAATCAAAAGCAGCAACAAAAGGAGGGGAATCAGGATGAGCATGTGAGAACGACAGCCACTTGGGAACGCTGGCATCCAGAGAGCTGGCCTCGACAAAAGGAGAAATACTAACAGAAGCAAACATCTCAAGCTTACAATTAAGAAGGAAAATAACAGCACTCTAGAGGGTGGAGCTCAGTGCAAAAGCCCAGGGTTCCGCCCACATTTTGAGACAACGGTGGCCATGGCCAAATTGAATTACTAATACCTTAGGGGTTTTTATTTATTTAATTTTATTTTATGTATTTAGTACAGGGTCTACAGGGCCTCACTACGTAGATTGGACTCGTAGCGATCCTCTTGTTTTCAGCCTCCCAAGCACTGGGATTACAAGCACGCATCACCATGCCCAATCTCAATCGCCATCTCAGCACGCCTCAGGGGCAGGGCCAGCACGGCACACCAGGGATCAAACCCAGGCCTTTGCACTCTGCCTAAGCAGGCATGTTAGTCCACTCAGCTATCTGACCAGCCCTAATAATTTATTAGTTTTTTAAAATCAAAATAATCTATTGGGATTCTCTTTTTTGGGGTACCCATATAAATGAAAAACTTTCCCCCTAACAATTGTACATTTCATGTCCATTTAATACTTCTTTCAGGAGTCAGACAGAAAGCAGTTGTATAAAATGAACACATTTGTTAATTTAATGATCCTGATACTAGGTTAAGGAAGTTAGTGTTCACTATAGACAGTTTTTACCATACCCAAAGAAATCAAGAGTTTATCCCAGGTACAAAATGTAAATCAGATATCCTCAGCACACAATAATGAGGCAGAACTTTAGTAAATGGAGTGGGAGTGGAGATTGCAGAACAGCAAAAGCCAGGACCTAGCAGGTCAGATGGGGGTGAGACAGAGAGCTGCACAGACTTAGCCAAGGCAGGCTCCTCTGGGTGAAGCTTTGCAGCTAGGAAGGTTCAAAATACACAGAAGCATGAAGAAAACACAAAGTGGGTGACAAGGAAAAGCAGACTTTAATGTGAAGGCTGTGTTTTTAGGAAGAAGGAAATAGAAGGAATGGGAACTTAAGAACCATGACTGTCAGTTTCCATAAAATATATTCAACAATATAAAACGTTTTTCTAGACAAATACAATATTCTTTCTAATTTTAGCCAAGCGTTTCATTTTTAGGGCCCGTTACATATTGAAGCCAAAACATCTCCCTTTGTGTGCTGTTTCTTGGTACTGTCTTTACTCCTAAAGTGAGTAGAGCTTGTTGTGCATTATTTTTTTCTTTTAAGCTATTTTCACATATAACTGGCAAATACTGTGAGAAGAGTAATTAAGATGTAATAGAAAAGATGCGAATGTATGCTCTCTTGTTCCAAAACTGCCATGTACTTTTGCTGTGTCACCTTAATAGTACTGCCAGCTTTTCTCTTAAAAGAACATATAATAGCTTGTAACTCTGTTCCTCTTCTGACCATATAGTTAGGCTGCTACGGACACCACCAAAGGGAAAGTGCAGAACACTTGCATGGAGGAGATAAAGATTCTAAGGATGGGAAGCAGTTCTAATTCTCGCATCATTACTTTTGCCAGATGTTATCAGTTACACAACAGAATAGAAATATTGACTAATCTTGGATTAATTCAGGGTTTTTTGTGTACCCCTTTTTCTAGATGCCAAGTAGGCCTGTTCCCAGCCCTGATGCTGTATCAGGGCAGGATGTACAAAGCACAATTTATGAAGTTATTCAGCACATCCCTGCCCAGCAGGAAGACCATCAAGAGTAAGTACGAGTCACGCTTGTTGGTGCTGTGGGCGAGCTCAGCATTTACCCTCTGCTTTCCTCAGAATTCATTGGAAGACTCAAAAAAAATACTAAAAAGAAATGATAGTTTCTGTACATATCAAAACGTACAAGACACTCCCCACCTTAAAATGATTTTTGTTTGTTTTGTTTTGATTTGCTCTCTTTGAGAAAGGATCTCACTATGAAGTTCAGGCTGGCTTTGAACTCACTTTGTAGCCCATGTTGGTCTTCAACTTGCAATGATCCTTCTATCTCAGCCTTCAGAGGGCTAGGATTACAAGCATGTACCACCATTCCCAGATGAAAACAATTTTAAGAAACAGGAAGAGTCAGGGAGATAGATCCATCTAAGCACCTGCCTGGCAAGTGCAAGGACTTGAGTTCAATCCCTGGCACCACATATTGTGCCAGCTCCAGCACTGGGGATCCTCATAGGAGTCTGAACCATGTAGCTACACTCTGTATCAAATAAATAAATAAATAAATAAATAAATAAATAAATACTAAAAAGAAACAGAAAATGCACAAATATCTTATAAACCTATGCCCTTGAGCCAGTGGATTAGATGCAAAGCTCTGGGGTTGACTATATTGTATACACTTCTCCTGGTCATGCCATGGCCCTTGGAATTCACATCAGGGCAGGAAGGGCACATGCTGCCCAGTTTACAAGCTACCTTGGTTATCATAATGACTTTCTAGTGCCCGCTGTAAGTTTGGAAGTAAGATCGGTCACTAAAGATGAAACCGGGGTGGGAGGAGGGTAGAAAGGCCCAAAGAAGAGTTACAATACAAAAAGCAAATGTCCTATTCCTTCCAACTCAAAGAAGTCTGTTTGCAAGCAAAGAGAACTACAGAAGGACAGAACCGATGTTGAGCCCAAGACTAGAATCCAACTAGCCTCAAGGCTGCCACTAAGAAGTCATTGTTTCTTCTCTGTCTTGGAGAAACTAAACCCCATAGTCTTCTGAAATAATGAAGTGGAATTCTTATTGTGAGTTGTACCTGCCTGCAGGTATAACTGCCACAAATCATCTTCCATTATTTCTTTATTTGTCATTTACTGACTTAGGTCAGAACATCAATAACCACACACAGGAACTTCCCCTCTGGCAAAAGAAACAGCTCCAGCAAAGTAAATCATGTACACCATTGGGTGGATACCAAAAATAACACGCTAGGAGTGAACGAATATATGGGAAATCATCTGATGGGATGAAAGCCAGGTCTGGTGGGGACACTGGAGTCATTTAAGGGGGAAATAGTGACTATATACTTCAGATGACCGCCCACCAACTTATATGCTTTCTGTAAATAATTTTTTTCTGTTCAAATGGAGCTAGAAGCTTCTGATTTGAACAGAGAAGAGAATTTATGTTGTAACTTTTTAATCTAGATGAATATTACAAGAATGGGATATTATTTCATAATTGTTTAAAAATAAAAACTCAACAAAAATGATACCTAATTCTCTGTACTTTCTGAAAGAGAAAGTTATGAGATCATTTTTTCTTACTTTCTTTTTCTTTTCTTTTTTTAATTGATGCATAGTAATTATACATATTTATAAAATATAATGTTTTGATCCATGTTTACAATGTACACATCAAATGTGGTTAATTAGCCTATCTATCCCCCAAATCTTGAGAGTATGCCTGTTTTAAAATGTTAAATCTGGTAAAAAAAAAAAATTATCCTATTTAAATTCATTAATTTTCTCTATATCCTTTGTTCTAAATGATGTGCTTACTTTGTTCACAAGAATGCAAACAAACCAAGTAAAAGCTTGAGGATTCTCTTCTTAGAATTTCCTAAGAATAAAATTAATACCAAGTTAAAATTGTGGATATGGCAGCTATAATTTCAGATCACAAAAAAGTTACTGGGTTGTTTTGCATGTGAAAATTTGATTTTATAAAAAAAAATAAACCTCACCTTCTAAACTTTGATGCCTTTCAGATATAAGAAAAACCTTGAGAATTTCTGGCCCAGCATGGAGGCACAGGCCTGTAATCCCAGCATTCAGGAGGCTGGGGCAGAAAGATGGCCAAGAGTTTGAGGCCAGCCTGGGTTACAGAGTGAACTCAAGGCCAACCTGCACTGCACAATGAGACTCTGTTTAAAAAAAAAAAATCTTTAGAATTTCTTGAAAACATAAAAATTTATTTTGAAAGTAAATTTTAAAGATTGAAAACAGCAGGAATGCTTTTCCAAATTTTGATGGAAGACAAAGCTCCTTGGAAAGCAAACAGCCCCAGGATATCAACCCTATCTCCAGTCAACCTAGTCAACACCTTCTCCTCACTCCTGACTCTAGGGCAGTCTCCTCCTTCCCTGCGTATAGTTTGTTTTGTGTTTTGTTTTCTCTGTTTGTTTCTCTCCAGGTGTTTGTCTTCTAGTAGTTTTCTCAACCTTTGTGTTCATTCTTTGATTTCTTCCTTTTATGAGTCTGTCCTATTTTCTTCCTTTGTTTCTCTTTAAGACTGTCTCTCTTATCCTTAAAATCCTTTTTTAGAATTTTCCTCGACTACCTCCAACTCAGTCAAGTGGAAACCAACATTTTTAAACAATTTTCAATTTCAATACAGTTCTTTTAATTGTTCTAAATTTTTTAAACAAGTAGATTGCTATCCCTTTTTCATGATCAATTATTTCATTTATTTTGTTTACAAACAATCCATAAACATTTATAGGCCATTTATCATGTACTAGGGAGAAAGATTAAATAAGATAGTCTTTTAAGCATGCTATAGCTTAGTGGGCTATTTGTTTAACTAAAAATTAATGATCCTTCATAAAATAAATATTCCTCTGTAGAATAAATGTTGCCTATAAATGCAAAGACCATTTTTATCTCCTGATTGCTTATGGTCTTATTCTTTAGGTCCAATTAAATTCAAAGATCAGTTTCATGAATAATGCAGTATTGCAGGTGCTTAGTGAACCTCCCCCATTCCCCATTTCCAAAATCAGTGTAGTAGTCTAGGGAAAGAATTTCAACTTTCTAATACCTTTATTTCATCATCACATCTGCAGTAAGAAAGACAACAAAAGATTTCGTTCTTTGATTTTTAGACTATTTTCTTGTGTATGTGAGACTGTCAGCTATTTGGACTGGTATATAACAAATTGGTAAAATAGTCTGTTCATAGTCTAGTACTCAGTCTAAATATTTGTTTACTGAACATTTAATGAAATTCTGTCTATTGACAGAGTTTGTTACAAATCTAAAGGCTAATTGTAAGACTTGAAAGCAAGTCATACAAGTCAGTAATCCTTGAGGTTCAAAGCTGATTATGTACAGGACTTAGTGCTTGCTTACTACTCACATTTATCGATTGATAAATATAATTTTCTTCAGCCATCTCAAAACCCTCATGATTTGCAGTTATGGAAAGTAATAAAAAGCTTAAAGTTCTTTTCCTTATAGATCTGGAAATCCATAGAAGAGTTCACAGAGCAGTACCTGGGAGAGAAACAATGAGAGAACGTCTGAGGAAAAACTGGAAACGTATATCCACCTGGGAACACTATAGAAATTGGCCTCTTATTCCAGTACCTCTTACCACTTCTATTACATGCAACATAGAGACATCTATATAAAGTAGACTTCAAGATTTTCAGTCTGTGCAACAATATGTTCCAAGACCAAGAAAAATGGTGGACATCTTTATTCTGCTGACTGAGAGAAAAAAATAAATAAAGTTTTCCAATCAGTCTTTGCATATCAAATTTTTCCAAAAAGCACCAATTCATTCTAACTTCTTTCACTTTGACCAATTATGTTCTTTTATTTATAAATGTAAAACCTTTACATTTATGAACTTCTCAGTAGGCTTTGTTTTATTGAATTCTCATGAATAAATGTTTATTCCAAAATTTATTTGTTCTTAATTGCATCACAGAAGTAGGACTGTGCCTTCAGCCTTGTTGTAAATCCACTTGTTTGTCAAGTATGTTTTTATTTTTTTAATAATTTTATTAAGAAACAAATAGCAATGAGGTAGTTTCAAGATCAATTAGTAGGACAGTTTCAAATAATTAATACATTGCATATTGTTGTCTTCTTAGTGGTTATTCATAGTAGAAGATATAGACATGATATCCTGTCCACAAACACTGTTTTTAAAAAGACTTGGAAAACACTGAAGGAAAGAATTTATTAAAGTCTTATTTAATTTTTGTTCAAAGAAAAATGAATTTGAGTAAGTTGTGTTTTTGCTTATATGTGGTGTTGATTCTTAGTCTTGTAGTGTAAAAACATATGTTCTTATGCCTACAATTAGATACAGAGTTGGAATTTTTTTATTTTCCAAAGTACAATAAGGTATAAGGTACAGATAAATGTTAAATAAAAATCTTATTTTGCCATAGCTGGTTGTATTGCCGAGAAATAGCAAATTTTTAATAAATAGAAATTTTTTTCTTACAATATTTCAAGCCAGCCTCCATATTTACACTGCACCTCTGTATTTTCACAGGAGCACATGGTGAAAAGAAAATTAAGATTGAAATCCAAGACTCCTCCTTTCTGGTCTCCTCTCTACCCCAGTTATATATATTTCTGTTGAAAAGTTCAGTCAGTTCTTCTGCAACATTTTCTCCTGCATTTTCTAACTAACTAGTTAGAAAAAGAATTTATGTTCATTGTAAACACACAGGTATGCTTGGCAATGCAAAAGATTTGCTCCAAGATGATTAGAATTGCTTATAAACAAACTGTTAGCATTTTCCTAGTTTAGCTATTTATCTATTAATTCATATTCTTTCCTGTTCCAGAAAAGATTTTATGGTACCTTATATAAACGCAAAATGTAACAATATGACATATGCCCACAAAAGAAAGCTGATAAGAAAAATAGGGTGAAGGACTTATGAGAGACATCGCAAAAGCAGAAAGAAGGTTACGAACTACTCTGACTTCCCCTCTGTGAATGTGGTTTTACACCACAGAGATCATGCGTCATCTGCAAGTTTATA